GGGGCCCCCCACCCCGCCGCCCCGCCCGTGCCCCACACATCTGCTGCGGCGGCGGCTGCTGCTGCTGCTGCTGCTGCTGCTGCTGCTGCTGCTGCTTGTTCGGGTCCAGTTTACGCCGCTTGGCGCAGAATTGTGGGTTTGCGCGCCAGGGGCTTTCCAATTTGCTCCGGCTCCCCAGTTTTAGCCCACACACACTGCTGCCGAGGATCCCCGCACCCGCCGCTCCTCCGGCTCCTGCTGCTGCTCCTGCTGCTGCTCCTGCTGCTGCTGCTGCATCTGGTGGCTTTTTGCAATATAGTTGCAAATTCAGTTAAAATGTTCGAAACCTTGTAGGGCAGAGAATTCGATGCAGAGCTGCGGAGACAGGGAAAAAGAGACACCCTCTTCTCCCCCGTGTGCACAAGTCCTGCTGCTGCAGCGGCAGCGGCAGGCGCTGCAGCAGATGCTCCACAGGCTTGTGCAGCATTTGCTGCAGCTGCTGCTGCAAAATGCCACTTTATAAATCTTCAAAAGAAATGGATTTAAAACAAAGTAGAAAAGACCCCCGCGGGCTCCTGCCGCAGCGGCACTCTCGGCTGTACGTACACCCCGGACTAGCCGCCGTCGGAGGTTTCTCCTGCGCTGCGACTTTTCTCTCCTTTGCACTCTTGCAGGACTTCGGCTCCAGGGTCTACGGTTTAGGGTTTAGGGTTTAGGGTTTAGTCGGGGGCCCCGGGAAGACAGAGCCTGCCCCGTGAGGAGGCGCCGTTGAGGTGTACAGACACCTGAACGCGAGGCCCAACTGCCGAACTTCCATTTCTGAAAATGTTTAAAATCAAAAAAGAATTAAATTCAAATTTATGCATTTAGCTGCATGCAGCTTGCCCCTTGCTGCACTAAAGTTCGGCCTCGGCGACTAAGAAGTGCACAAAAGGTGCAAATAACTAATCCCAAATGTTCGCAAATAAAGACATATACTTTATAAATGCTTTACATGCATTTGCGTGCATCTGTAGAGGGCCCCAAAAGGCGTTTTGCAAAGAAGCGTCGAAATCTGGGGTGTACGTACACCCCGATTTGCAGTGTACGTACACCCCGCGCCTCCGCCAAACTGCAGATCTTTCTGAAATTGACGAAACAAACGGAACAACAGTAAACCCGCATGCATGCATGCATGCAAATATCCCAAAATGCTCAGAAATAGGTACATAAAAATATATTAATGGGATAAATATGTACATATATATGTATATGATGTTGCAAAATGCCACATTTATGTACAGTGTTCATATATATACTGCATATCTACAAACTTGGTACATTTTCCGAAAATAAATTAAAAGATCCTTTTTAATCTTCTTCAAAAAGAACAATTGTCTTAAATTGCGCAAAGGGAGAAAAAGACAAAAAGACAAAAAACATTTGCTGCAGACACTGCGAAACAGGTCCAGGTGGACATACACCTGAATGCGCACGTGGCAACTTTGCCTTTTTGCGCATGCACGGGGTGTATGTACACCTCCGTTCATGCATGCAAATGAATGTTTTAAAACATGTTTGAGCGAATTTTCAAAACTTTTCCGGAAATAACCTTTGAATACAACCGCCAATTAAGTCTTCTTTTATTTTTTTCGTAAAACATGTCTGCTGCTTCCATTGCAGCCAAGTTTGAATGCAACCTTTAGACAAACACTAAACCCTAAACCCTAAACCCCAGCATCTGCGATGGGTCCAGAATGACCACAAGTTCGAGCTACTTGCAAAGAGTTAGCTAATCTAAACTCTAAACCCTAAACCCTAAACCCTAATTCCTGCGCTCAGAGTCCCCCAAAACTTAAGAATGAAACTAAAACTTAGTCCACATTCATTTAAATATTTAAACTCAAAAGGAGAGCAGCAGCAGCAGCAGCAGCAGCGCCTTGACTGCAGGTGCTTCTACCGCAAATACATGCTCGTGCCTTCTTCTGTTACAACGGCGGCAGCAGCAGCAGCGGCAGAAGCGGCAGCAGCAGCAACTGCAGCAGCAACACCTGCAGCAGCAGAAGAGTGTGACTGCAGCCAAAGGAGACCGAGCAAACCCTAGAGCCGAAGTGCTGCTGCTGCTGCTGCTGCTGTTGCTGTTGCTAATAGTCCCACTGCTGTTGCTGCTTATTGTCCCACTGCTGCTGCTGCTGCTGCTGCAACTGCAACGGCTCCCTACAGCAGCAGCTGCAGCCTGCTGACTCTCGTCATGCACCCGCCCTTATACTGCTGCAGCACCTGGAGGTGCCGCTGCCGCTGCAGCAGCAGCAGCAGCTGCTGCTGCTGCTGCTGCTGCTGCTGCTGCTACAGGACCCCGCCTTTCTTGTAACTCATGAGCAAACCCCGGACTGTTTTGCCGCCGCTGCGGCTCCCCCCAGAACAGTGCTCAAGCGACTCGCTTGAAAACTGCTCCTGGGAAGCAGCAGTGCTGCTGCTGCTGCTGCTGCTGCTGTGGTCATTGTAGGTGCTGCGCCGCTGCACCAGCTGCTGCTGCTGCTGCTGCCTCTTGCGGGATGTCAAAGTCTCCAGCTGCTGCTCAGGGTTCAGCAGCACGCGCCTACGGGGCTCCCCACCTAGGCCAGCGTCCGGCTGCTGCAGCAGTTGCTGCTGCAGCAGCTGCTGCTGAAGCAGCTGCTGCTCCACTTGCTGCTTCTTCGTCACTGCTGCCGTCATCGTGGCTACTGTCGCTGCTCCTGTGTCTGCTGCTGCTGCGTGGCCTGCTGCAGCACAACAGCCTGCCGCTGCAACACCCGAGGCGCTTCCGTCCTTCCTTCTAGTCGCTGCTGCTGCTGCTGCCCCTGCTGCTGCTGCCCCTGCTGCTGCTGCTGCCCCACTTCGAGACGCTGGAGAGAGAGACGCTGCAGAAGCAGAGACAGCGCCTCTTGAATGCAAGCCTAACCAGTCTTGCTGCTGTTGCCCTTGCTGCTGCTGCTGCCATTGCTGCTGCTGCTGCTGCTGGTCATCTGGAGTGTCAGAGTCACTCAAGGTAATAATTACAGGGGAAGCATCAGCATCAGCATCAGCATTGGCAGCAGCAATTGTCTCTGGTCCTTTCGACTGCGGCGAACTGCTGCTGCTGCTGCTGCTGCTGCTTCTGCTGCGGGCTTGCTGCCGCTTCAGACCACTTTTGCTCGGCCTCCTTTGGCTGCAGTCACACTCTTCTGCTGCTGCAGGTGTTGCTGCTGCAGTTGCTGCTGCTGCCGCTTCTGCCGCTGCTGCTGCTGCTTCTGGAGAGCCCAGTTGGCGCTGTATTTGCGATCTAGAGACGGAAGCAAGGAGCTGCTGTTCCCGCTGCTGCTGCTGCTGCTGCTGCTTCTGCAGCTGTAGCTTTTGCTGCAGCAGCAGCGGTTCCTGCCGCGGTTGCTGAAGTGTCTCATGCGGAGACGTTTGATGTGGTCTAGGGCTTCGCTCCTTGGTATGCTGCAACCGTTGCAGCTGCTGCTGCTGCTGCTGCTGCTGCTGCGGAGACCGTGGCTTTCCCATTAAATGCTGCCGCAGCTGCAGCTGCTGCTCTCGGAGCTCTCCCAGCAGTGGTTTACGGGCTTCTGTTGCGTTGCTGGCCTGCTGCTGTTGCTGCTGCTGCTGCTGCTGCTGCTGGTTGGAGCCCGCAGGCGCTGCTATGGTAACAGGCGCTGCTGCAGCTGTTGCTGCTGCTGCTGCTGCTGCCTGCGGGGCATTTTCAGCAGTATCAATGTCGCTCTCTGTGTCTATGTAAACTACAAGCTCGTCTTCGGACTCCGCAGCAGCAGCAGCAGCTGCTGCTGCTGCTGCTGTTGTTGCAGCTGCTGCAGCACGGGGCGATTGTTGTTCCTTCTCCTTAGCATAAGAACCACTAGATGCAGCAGCAACGCGGTGTGCTGCAGGCATCTGAGGAGAAGTAGCAACAGCCGCAGCATCAGGAAGTTCTGCTGCTGTCCTAAAAGCAGCAGCAGCACGCCTGCCACTGTTGCTGCCACCGGCGCTTGCTGCTGTTGCTGCTGCTGCTGCACACAGAGTGGGAACGGCGGCTGATTCGCCAACAGGGGGAAACAGCTGCAGCGGCTGCTGCCTGCCATGGTACTGCTGCTGCTGCTGCCGCTGCTGCTGCTGCTGCTGCCTGAGATTTTCGTGTCGCTGCTGCAACGGCCGTTGTAGTGAATGCGCTGCTGCTGAGGTCGGAGCAAATCCAGATGGAGAGCATGCAGCAGCAGCAGCAGAAACAGCAACAGCAGCAGCAGTAGGCGAAGCTGCTTCCGAAGTTGCTGTCTTACGGCTGTTCGGCCGCTGCACGTTTTCTATGAGCCGTTCCACGGCGACCCGGGCAGCAACTGGAGCAGCAGCAGCAGCAGCAGCAGGAGCAGGAGCAGCAGCGGAGGGTGCGCCTGTTCGCGTTGCTGCTGGTGCTGCATGAGCAGCAAGTGCGCTGGATGCGTCAAGTTGCTTCTGTTGCTGCTGCTGCTGACCCAGCTGGTGCAGCTGCTGCTGCTGCCCCTCGTGCTGCTGCTGCTGTTGCGCTTGCTGCCGCCTTGGCACTTGCTGCTGCTGCCGCGGTTGCTGCTGCCGCTGCTGCAGCTGACTCACTGGGCAGCAGCTAGCAACAAAGACCTGATCCAAGAGACACAAATGACAAGTCTTCATGTCAATTACGAGCTGCCGTTTGCTTTTGACAAAGAAGCGGCAGCTGCTGCTGCAGCAGCAGCAACCCTGCAGCCGCATCTTCCAGGGCTGCAGGAAAGCAGCAGCACGAAGCAGCAGCAGCAGCAGCAACAGCAACATCTCTGCAGAGGAGCCCCAGGGGAATCGAAAAAGCAACTGTTTCTGCTGCTGCCGTTTCTGCTGAGCGAGCGGCTCCGAGCTCCTCCACAAAGCCTCCTGCTGCTGCTGCTGCTGCTGCTGCTGTAGCTCCTGCTCCTGCTGCTCCCTCATGCGACGCAGCAGCGGCAGCACGGCCACAGCACTACCCAGAGAGTGCCAGTTGGTCCAGGCGTTGGTCTGCTGCTGCTGCTGCGGCTGCTGCTGCTGTTGCTGCTGCTGCTGCTGCAGGCAGTCGGCCAGCTCCCGCAGCATTGCTCGGGAAATACAAACCCGAGACCTCCCCCCCACAAACCCGCCAAATGTTATTCCGCTGTGCAGCAAAAAGCGCCAGGGTGTGTCTTCTAAATATTTCTGCTGCCTGCGCGTCAGCTGCTGCTGCTGCTGCTGCTGCTGCTGCTGCTGTTGCAGCTGCAGCGCCGCCGGGGCCTGATCCTGCTGGTTCTTGTGCAGTTCATACCAGTGAAAAGCTAGCTTGTCGGCTGCTGCTGCTGCTGCTGTGTGTGGCTGCAGCTGCTGCCGCCACAGCAAGCTGGAAGTGCTGCTGCTGCTGCTGAGAGCATCGACGAGAAGACTTGCTGCTGCCTCCGGCACCCGCCAGCCCAACACCCACTCTCCTGCTGCAGGGTCCTCGCTGTTGCTGCTGCTGCTACTGCTGCTGCGGTGACCGCCGCCTTTAGAAGCAGCAGCAGCAGCAGCAGCAGCGGCAGCAGCAGCAGCAGCTTGGGCCTCCGGCAGCACATGCAGCAGCACTGGCTGAGGCAGTCCTGCCCGACGGCCTTGGCAGCCACACACCTGCTGCAGACAATGCAGCAACGGGTCCCGAAATTCGCCTCCTGCTGCTGTTGCTGCTGCTGCTGTTGCTGTTGCTGCTGTTGCTGCTGCTTCTGCTTTCTCCGCCGTTACTTTTCCCCAACTTGTTACTGCTGCAGCACTGCTTGCTGCTCCTGCCTCAGAGCTGCTCGCCGCCCCGTGCAGCAGCGCCGCAACGCTTCGCATCACCAGAGGCAATGAAACCCTGCTGCTGCTGTCGCTGCTGCTGCTGCTGCCGTCGGTGCTGCTGCTGCACGTGGGGCTGCTTCTGCCTGCTGCGGAAGTGCTGCTGCTTGTATCCCCTTGCTCTGGCTTGGCTAAAGAGCCTTGCTGCGCTAACCTCCGGCTTCTGCTGCTGCTGCAGCTGCCGCTGCTGTTGCTAGCGCTGCTGCTGCTGCTGTTGCTGCTGATGGGACACGGCAGGCACTGGACAGCAGCAGCAGCCGCTGCTGCTGGCGGCAGCTGCAGCGCAGCGAGAACACCAGAGCATTCTGCTGCTGCCAAGGCGAACGCGCTGGCTTCCTTGGCGCGGAGTGCCCCGGAGCAGCTGCAGCAGCAACTGTTACTGCTGCTGCTGCTGCTTGCTCCGGTGTCGCCGCTGCTGCTGCACGCAGACTTGCTGTCACAGCAGCAGCAGTGGACGGCAGTAAGCAGCAGCAGCTTTTGCTGCTTGCTGGTCCACCGCAGCAACGAGCTGAAGCCCCCTTCGTCCCGCTGCTGCTGCATTTCCTGCTGCTGCTGCTGTGCGCTGCAGCGTGCTTCGTCCAGAGCAGCAGCAGTAGCAACAGCTGCTGCTGCTGCTGCTGCTGCTGAGTCCTCGCGGCTCCGCTGCCGCACAGCGCATGCATCCAACAGCGCTGCGCTCTCGCGGAGGCTCCAAGCAGCAGCAAATGTAGCAGCAAATGAGTCCCGCAGCTGCTGCAGCCGTCTCTCTCTGCAGCAGACATAGATGCAGCAGCAGCAGCAGCAGCAGCGGAAGGTGGTGCAGTAGCAGCACACGGGACAAGCAGCAGCAGCAGCAGCAGCAGTACTTGCACGTAGCGGCAGCAGCAGGGGAAATCAAACCCTGGCAAGAAACTTGTCCCTTTGCCTCGCCCCCCAGAGCCCATACCTAAACCCTAAACCCTAAACCCTAAACCCTAGACCCTAAACTCTAAAGAAGCCCACGAGAGGATACGGGAGGCTTCCGCAGCTGTCAGAGCAATGCCGCATTGCAGGCCCGTGGCGGAAGCAAGTAGAAACAGGTCGCTGCTGCCCCTATCATTAAACTTGCTGCTGCTGCTGCTGCTGCAGCTGCTGCAGCAGCAAGGCGAATATCGCGCGGCCAATGGGTGCCGCAGCAGCACGACGGGCACTGGGTGCAACGCGCCCATTAGCCTGCAGCAGCAAAACAACAGCAAAAATAAATTAACTAATTTCTTTAAACTCCCGAAACATTGTTTGGGATTTGGTGGTAGAAAATAATGGAAAAGACCCACTGCTGCTGTTGCTGCTTTCGCAGTTGCCACCGCTGCTGCTGCTGCTGCTGCTGCTGCTGTAGTTAGTTCTGCTGCAGCGATTCTCCACAGTCGCGTCACTCATCTACAGCAGCAGCAGACATCAGAGCAGCAGCAGCTCACCAGTAGAAGCGAAGCAGTGGGTGCGGCTGCTGCTGCTGCTGCTGCTGCAGCAGCTGCTGCGCATCCGCATAGGACAGGCGGCAGCAGACAAAGACACTCAGAAGCTCCAGCGCGATTCCCCCTTTGAGGTCCTCAGATGCAGGTGTTGTGTCCTCCGTTGCTGCTGCAGTTTCTGCTGCTGCTGCTGCTGCTGCTGCTGTTGCTGCTGCTGCTGCCAGCGGCACCACCCGCAGAAGCCGCCGTTCCACGAGGGTCACTTGGTCGAGGCCTTTGCCGTTGAGGATCGTTTGCGGGCCCATGACTCTCAGGCACACCACTTGCTGCTGCTGCTGCTGTTGCTGCTGCTGCTGCTGCTGAGCCTGCAGCATCTCCGCCAGACTGCACAACTCCACCCACGACGGCTCGTAGAGGAGACTCCTGAACTGCAGAAAAGAGAGAAAAGCCGCAGTCGCACAAGAAGTACACGAAGCAGCAGCAGCAATGACAGCAGCAGCAGCAGCAGCAGCAATGACAGCAGCAGCAGCAGCAGAAGGATCTCACCATCCAGCCAGTTTGCTGCAGCGCGGCCTGCAGCTGCAGCAAGGTCATTTGCAGCTCTGGGCTTAGGGTCTCCGCCGTCTGCAGCAGCTGCTGCAGGGCAAAGGAGACAGCGCAGTCCGTTGCTGCCTGCAGCAGCAAGCTCGCCAACTCCTTGCTGCTGTCTGTGCTGCTCCGCCTTGCCTGCTGCTGCTGCTGCAGCAGCAGGAGTGCAGCCTCGCTGCGGCTGCTGCAGCACCTGCTGCTGCTTGTGCTCTGCTGCGCGCATGCAAGGCGGATCTCAAGGGACCCCTGAAGCGGGAAGGACGGAGACGACTTTGCTGCTGCTGCTGCTGCTTCGGGCTGCTGCAGCTTGCTGCAGGCCAAAGGCAGCAGCAGCGGCAGCTGCTGCTGCAGCTCCAAGTCCCTCTTGTGAATAGCCCGCACGGCAGCGAGCGCAGCACGCCCCAAAGCAAGCAGCTCTGAGCGATTAGCAGCAGAATCATACGCTGCAGCAGCAGTAGCTGCTGCAGGAACACTTGCTGCTGCTTCTGCTGCTGCAGAAACAGCTGCTGTTGCTGCTGCAGGTGGCTGCAGTGAGCCGCGCAGCGGCACTCCAGCGGCGAGCCAAAGCGCTGCAGCAGCAAGAGAAATGTCCAGAGATGGTGCCCGTATAGCTGAAGCAGACTCAGTTGCTGCTGCTGCTGCTGCGCTGTTGCTGCTGCTGTTGCTGCTGCTGTTGCTGCTGCTGTTGCTGCTGCACTGGCCTCCCCGCAAGCGGCTTTCTAAAACCCTTGAAGCTGCCTCTTCTGCCAACGAGATGCGACACTGCATGCAGCACGCCGTGCCACAGCCGCTGCTGCTGTTGCTGCTGCTGCTGTTGCTGCTGCTGCCTTCAGCGCTGTTAGTACCGCTGCTGCTGCTGTCGCTGGTGCTTGTGGGAGGTTTGCTGCTGACGGGAGGGGGCAGGCAAAGGAATACCGACGTGGAGACGCCCGCGGTTCGGCGCTGCTGCAGCTGCTGCAGCAGCGGCAGCTGCTGCTGCTGCAGCTGCTGCTGCAGCTCAAGAACTGCAGCTACTCCCGCACAAAATGCCCTCAGCTCCTCAGCAAACCGCAGGGCCCCACACTTCGAGGGAGGGGCGAATGGCAGCAGCACCACTACGTTGGATGCCACCTGGACGCTGCTGCTGCTGCTGCTGCTGCCATTGCTGCTGCTGTTGCTGCTGCTGCTGCTTGCGCCACCTGCAGCAACCAACACTTGAGGCTTTCGAGAACTGCCCACGGGGGATGTAAGGACTGCCTCAACTCCTTCACAGAGCTTCTGACTCTTCTGCAGTTACCGCTGCTGCTGGAGTCGCTGCTGCTGCTGCTGCTGCTGTCGCCCTGCAGGGCAGCTTCAAGCTGCTTCAGCTCCTCTGTAAGACAGCCCTCATCTACTGCCAATTGCTGCTGCGGCAGCACAACCACCATTTGGGTTCTTTCTCCTGCTGCAACTCTCAAGGGCCACGAGCTGTTGCTGTTGCTGCTGCTGTTGATGCCGCAGCTCTTGCTGCTGTTGCTGCTGCTGCAGCTGTCACTGATACCATCGGCAGCAGCAGAAGCTGCCTGGGTCTTCAATAGGCGGATGAAGGCTGCTCGCCGTTCCCGCTGCTTCACCATCTGCTGTGCGATGCCTCCTTCTGAGCCTGACGTTTTTGCTGCTGCTGCTGCTGCTGCTGCTGCTGCTGCTAATTGGTCCGGCGTCTGCAGCACCTGCAGCAGCATCTTTATGCGGCGGCGCGCGCGTTGAGCTGCCCTCAACCAAAGAACCGCGCAGCAAAACTGGCCTGCAGCAGCAGCAAGCGTCCCTTCAACCCGAAAAGCAGCAGCCTCAACCTGATTCAGTTTGCTGCTGCTGCTGCTGCTGCTGCTGGTGCTGCTGCGGGCTAACTCCAGCAGCAACTTTGTGGCCCCCAGAAGCTGCCCCAGCAGAGTGCCCAGTGTATCTACAGCTGCATTTTCAAACGCCTCTTCTTCGGCTGTCGTCACAGAGCAAAGCCGATGCCCAGCAGCAGCAGCAGCAGCAGCAGCAGGAGCAGTAGCAGTAGCAGCAGCAGCAGCCGCACAGGCGCAAGAGCGCAGCTCCTGTCGCTGCAGCAACAGGGACTCCCTGGGAAAAGCAGCAGCACGATAGTCAAACGGACGTAAAGTGCAGCAGCGATGTGCTGCCAGATACTGCGCTGTGCTGCTGCTGCTGCTGCTGCTGCTGCTCGCGAGCTCATTAACAAAAAAACTCATAAGTGTTTCCCTCATCCCTGAGCTACAGGCAGCTAGCACTTTAACTGCGTTGCTGCTGGCGCCGCCGCTGATGCTGCTGCTGCTGCCACTGCTGCTGTGGCTATCGCTGCTGCTGCTGCTGCTGCTCAGAGCTAGATGCTGCAGCAGCTGCTGCAGCCAGTGTGGCTCAGAGGGCCTTCTGCTGACGCGGCGGAGTTCCTCAAAGGCAGCAGCAGGTTCAAGATGTGTGTCTGCTGCTGGACAACTGCTGCTGCTGCTGCTGCTGCTTTTGTTGCTGACTTTGCGAGGCCGCGTTGATGCAACTTGTGCTGCTCTTGTTCGTGTTGCAGTTGCTGCTGCTGCTGCTTTGGTTGCTGCTACTGCTTCTGCTGCTCTCAAAGATTGATGAACAGGGCCATGGAAGACCACATGCAGCAAATACCGGGCTAGCGCCTGCTCAGCGGTTTTCTGGCAGCGCGCTTTTGCTGCTGCTGCTGCTGCAGCTGCCTGCTGCTGCTGCTGCTGCGGGCCAGAGAAATACAAGGCTGCTGCCAAGCCCTCTGCAGAGAAGCAGATTTCCCCGCAGCCCCCCAGCTGCGCGTCGGCCCACAGCAGCAGCAGCGCCACCCCACGCAGGAGTTGCTGCTGCTGCTGCTGCTTCGCAGCAGCCAAACAAACGCTGCAGCAGCAGCCGCTGCAGCTCCCGCTCACGCAGCTGCTGCAGCTCCCCAAAGCCAGTTTGCTGCTGCCCCAGCTGCTGCTGCTGCTGCTGCTGCTGCTGCTGTGGGGCATCTCTTCAGAATCCCGCTGCCCCCAATTTATCCAAACAATCTGACGAGTCACGGGCGCCGTCACCGCCAGCATGCCTTGGCTGGCAGCAGCAGCAGCAGCAGCTGCTGCTGCTGCTCGTGCTGCTGCTGCTGTTGCGGCTGCTGTTTGTGATACACGTTGCGGAGCTTCGGCCGAAACGACAGTGCTGCTGCTGGCGGCAGCCACACCGGCGCTGCTGTCTGCTGCAGCAGCAGTAGCAGCTGCTGCTGCTGCCTTTGGCTTCTCTTCTAGAGTAGACGGCCTCTGAGCGTTTGAACCTGCCCCTGGAAGTCGCTGCTGCTGCTGCTGCTGCCGTTGCTGCTGCTCTTCTTGTGGTTCCTGTCGCTGCTGCTTTCGTCCCTCCTTTCGCTGCTGCGGCTTCTCCAGCTGCTGTTGCTGCTGCTGTTGCTGTTGCTGCTGCTGCTGCTGCTGCCGCAGCTGCCTCGACTCCCTCGACTTCTTTTGCAAACTCATTCCAGCAGCAGCAGCATCTGCTGCTGTTGCTGCTGCTGCTTCTGAAATGTCGCCATCAGCAGCAATAGCATCAGCAGCTGCTGCAGTTGGCGGCTCCTTAGCTCGAGCAGCAGCAGAAGCATCTGTTTTTGTTGCTGCTCCCCCTTCAGCTGCAGCAGCAACAGCAGCAACAGCTTCACAACTCTCGAGACTAGAAATAACGCCATTAGTAGCAGCAGCAGCAGGCCCAGCCGGAATAGCCTGAGCAGCAGCAGCAGCAGCAGCAGCAGCAGCAGCAGGAGATCCCTGCACCCGCAAGTCAAGGTAATAACAGCCGCCAGTCTTCAGAGCATCCCAGTGAAGAGGCAAAGAGAAACCTGCAGGCAAATGCATGCATGCGCTGCTGCTGCTGCTGCTGCTGTTAGTGCTTTTGCTGCTTCAGGGCCAAAATAGGCCGCAGCGGCAGCAGCAGCAGGTGCTGCTGCTGCTGCGGCCACAGCTAAGAGTAGCAACATCACGCGCTGCCCCCAGCAGCACCCGCAACACTGCAACTGAGGCAAACCCATAAGCAGCAGCAACAGCAGCAGCAGCAGCAGCAGCAAATTCACCTTCTTCAGTCTTAAGACTAAGGATTGCTGCCAGCTCCAAGCCAAACAAAGAAGCAACAAAACGCCTCAGCCGTTTTTCGCTGCGTGCGAACTGCCAGGGCAGCTCAACAGACCGCTCTTCATATCCCGGATCTGCTGCTGCTGCTGCTGCTGCTGTTGTTGCTGCTGCTGCTGCTGCTGCTGCTGCTGCTGTGGGTGGGGACGCAGGGGCTGTGCCCGCAGCTGCTGCCTTGTGCGCAAGGCGCAGCACGAGCCGCTTCACCTCTGGAAAAACTGCAGCAGCAAAGGCACTGTCCGTAGGAACTTGCTGCTGCTGCTGCTGCTGCTGCGAAGGAGGGCTGCTTCTGCTGCTGCTGTAAACCCGGAGCTTAAAGGGGCGGCTGCTGCAGCTGCTGCTGCGTGACCTGCAGCGGGCCTTCCTGCTGCTGCTCTTGCTTTTCTTGCAGCGACTCTTGCTGCTGCTATTGCTGCTGCTCCTGCTACTGCTGCTGCTGCTGCTGCTGCTGCTGCTCAGGCTATTCCGGCTGGGCCTGCTGCTGCTGCTACTAATGGCGTTATTTCTAGTCTCGAGAGTTGTGAAGCTGTTGCTGCTGTTGCTGCTGCAGCTGAAGGGGGAGCAGCAACAAAAACAGATGCTTCTGCTGCTGCTCGAGCTAAGGAGCCGCCAACTGCAGCAGCTGCTGATGCTATTGCTGCTGATGGCGACATTTCAGAAGCAGCAGCAGCAACAGCAGCAGATGCTGCTGCTGCTGGAATGAGTTTGCAAAAGAAGTCGAGGGAGTCGAGGCAGCTGCGGCAGCAGCAGCAGCAGCAGCAACAGCAACAGCAGCAGTGCTGCTGCTCCTGCTGCTGCCGACTGGTGCTGTCCAGCAGCAGCCGCAGGACACGTGCACTAAATGCTGCAGCAGCAAACGAGAAGCGGGAGCTCCGCAGAGCCAAAGTGGTAAGACCCTACGCCTGAATCCCAGGAGACATTGCGAGCTGCTGCTGCTGTTGCTGCTGCTGCTGCTGCAGCGAGAGCTGGCATTCGGCAGCGGCACGAAACATGTTGCCGCATGCAGCAGATTGGTGGCAACTGCCTTTAATTCCTGGGGTTGCTGTTGCACACCCCAGCAGCGCTGCTGAGCTCCAGCAGCAGCAGTGTTGCTGCAGCAGCAGCAGAGCAGCGCAAGCGGCAGCAGCAGCTGCAGCAAGGCGCATATGTTGTTTATATCCAAAAATACAACATTACTTTGAAGCCCCAGCAGCGCCTGGACTAGCCATTTTGCTGCTACTGCTGCTGCTGCTGCTACAGGGGCTGCTGCACATGCGCTGCAGCACGACTTCGTAGTAAAAGAGTCTTCTATTGCCAAACATTTCTTTATTTTTAATTCGTTTAACTCAATAAATAACGCCAGATTTACTTATTCAGACACTTCCTCCACAAAGAACACACCTGCATGTCTTGCTGCTGCCTCGAGACGTCGCGGCAGCAGCAGCAGCAGCAGCAGAAACTCTTTGGTGCTGCTGCCGAGCCCGCCACAGTTTGCTGCTACTGCCTTGTGTTTAGAGTTGTACTTCCACCAAACTCACCTAGCTAGCTGCTAGGGCATGCAGCAGCCAGCCAGGCAGGAAGTAGCAAGCTTTGGCTAGCTAGCCGACCATAGCTGGCTAGCTAAAAAGCTGGCTAGCTAAATAGCTGGCTAGCTAAATAGCTGGCTAGCTAAACAGCTCGCTAGCTAAAAGGCTGGCTACCTAAATAGCTGGCTAGCTAAACAGCTGGCTAGCTGAATAGCTGGCTACCTAAATGACTGGCTAGCTAAATTGGTGGCTAGCTAAATAGCCAGCTAGCTAAATGACTGGCAAGCTAGCTGGACAGCCAAATGGCTGGCTAGCTAGCTGGCTAGCTAATTGGATGGCTAGCTAGCTGGGTAGCTGGCTGCAACACAAGAGATGTGGCAGACGCCGTCCTCTGTACTGACTCACGCCGTGCTGCTGTTGCTGCTGCTACTGCTGCTGCTGCTGCTGCTCTAGTAGCTTAGCTAGGTAGCTAGCTAGCTTACTAGCTAGCTGCTGCGTTGTGACAGATGGAGAGACACAAAAGAAAACAGTCAAGAGACAATCGGCTGGAGCTTAAAACAAACGCTACTGCAGCACACTGCTGCTGCTGCTGCTGCTGCAGTGAGTGCAGTCTCATTATCTTAGTGCCGCGATTGTTGCTGCTGCTGCTGCTGCAGTTGCTGCTGCTAGCGCAGCGACTGGCGAGACAGCCGGTACTCTGCACGCAGTCTGTCAAGCGTTAGATAGTAGCGCCTCTCAACTGCAGCAAGAGGAGCAGCAGCAGCAGCAGCAGCAGCAGTGGAAGGGCTGGTATCTTCGCTGCTGCTGCTGCCTTCTGCTGTCTCAATAGACAGACGCCGCCCCCTGGATGTTCTTGTTTTGGTCCGCTGCTGCTGATGTCGCTGCTGCTGCTGCAGTGGCTGCTGCAGCAGTGGCTGCTGCTGCTGCTGCTGCTGCTTTGGCAGCACAGAAGAAGCCGCCGTCGTTGTCTCCTCTTCGTCCGAGGAGAGCAGCAAACAGCGGGGCTTAATCTGGAGTGCATTTGCAGCAGAGACAGCAGCAGCAGCAGCAGCAGCAGCAGCAGCTTCGCCCGTGCGCCGAGCCGGCGTCACTGAAGCAGGTAACGCCATGTGCTGCTGCTGCTGCTGTTGCTGTTGCTGCTGCTCTCTCACGTGGTCTTCCTCGTCCTCACTGCTGTCTGAAGCTACAAGCAGCAGCAGAGACGACCGGCTGTCAGCAGCTGCAGCAGCAGCAGCAGTGGCGGGGGTGCCCAGCAGCGTCTGCCTGCTGCTCTTCTTCGACAGCAGCAGCAGCTGCTGCTGCTGCTGCTGCTGTTTCAATTGCTGCTGCTTAAGCGGTGTTTGCTGAAACGCATCAACATTACTTAATTGTCTCAAGCCGGGGATTCTTAGTGCTGCTACTTCTGCATCTGTTGCTGCTGCTTCTGCTGTTGCTTCTGCTCCGTCAGAAAAAGTAGCGGGCCTCTCTGCTGCAACAGCAGCTGCTGCAGCAGCAGCTGCTGCAGCAGCTTCCTTGGAATCCGTCAAGCTGAGTTTCCCGACAGCCGCAGCGGCAGGCAACGGGCGTATCCGCCGCTGCTGCTGTTGCTGCTGCTGATGCTGCTGCAGGCGCTGATCGCGTTGCTGCTGCTGCTGCTGAAGGCGCTGCTCTCGCTGCTTCTGCTGCTGCTGAAGGCGCTGCTCTCGCTGCTGCTGCTGCTGCTTCAGGCGGTACTCTTGCAGCCGCCGACAAATCCCCTCAAGCCCCGTCCCCTGCTGCTCTTCCAGTTGCTGCTGCTGCTGCTGCTGCAGGGCTTCTGACACAGGGCTAGAGCGCTGAAACAGCAGCGGCGGTAGCAGCTGCTGCTGCGGGTCATCGTTGGCGGCGCGCTTACTGCTGTAAGCAGCAGCCTGCTGCAGCAACAACTGCTGCTGCTGCTGCTGTTGCTGCTTGTCAGCTGGAGAGACGGCCGCTAGCCTGCTGCTGCTGCTGCTGCTGGCCTGTGCAGAGTAGACCGCGTAGTCTGGATCATCCGCAGCAGCAGCAGCAGCGCCAGAAATCGCTGAAGCAGAAGCAGCAGCAGAGGTCTCTGAAGCAGCAGCATCTGCTGCTGCTGCTGCTGCTGCTGCTGGCTGCTGTTGCAGGCACACGCACCTATCGCAGCCGCAGCGAGAAGCCCACAGCCCCTGAGAGTCGCCTATACAAATCCTTCTTGCTGCTGAAGCAGCAGCAGCAGTTTGTTCTAGAAGATAGGCATCAAACATGTCTTGCTGCTGCTGCAGCTCCTGCTGCTGCTGCTGCATCTGCTGCTGCTGCTGCTGCAGCCGGTGCTCCCTCTCCCGAAGCTGGGCTTCTAGGCTGTCGATGCGCCGCTGCTCCTGCAGCAGCAGCAGCTGCTGCTGCTGCTGCCGCTCCTGCAACAGCTGCCGCTCGTGCCGCAGAAGCAGCAACTCCCGGCGGCTCTCTTCTTCGCGCTGCTGCAGCAGCTTGACTTCAGTCCTCAAGGCTTCCATCTCGGCAGCGCCAGCCTGCAGCAGCAGCAGCAACAGCAGCAGCAGCAGCAAACGAGGTAGAAAACTGCTGCAGCACCGAACCAGGCACTAGCTACACTAAGATCAAAGACTGCGGTGTACTTACAGCGAGGGCTTCTTCATGTTGCTGCTGCTGCTGCTGCAGCAGCAGCTCCTGCTGCCGCAGCAAGACCTTGTGCTGCCTCAGCTCTTCCTGTATTGCTTGCCTCTCAACCTGCTGCTGTAGTTGCTGTTGCAGGTCGCGTTGCTGCTGCTGCAGCTGTTGCTGCTGCTGCTGCAGTTGCTGCCGCAGCTGCTGTACCAGCTCCTGCTGTTCCCTCTGCCCTGCAGTTGCTGCAGTCCTGGCCACGAATTGATCGTTTTGCTGCTGCTGCTGAGACTGAGACCCAGGAGCAGCAGCAGCAGCAGCAGCAGCAGCAACTGCTGCTGCTGCTTCTGGACTATCTCCATGCTGCTGCCCCAAACGCGGCAAAGGACGCTGCGGAGAGGGATGCACGAAGCTGCCGGCTGGAGAGACAGATAAAAGTGGGGTTAACCCTCTGCTGCTGCTGCTGCTGCTGCTGCTGCCAGCAGCAGAAGCAAACGTCGCTGGGCCAGTTCCCTGCGTAGAAAGGCTCCTGCTGCTGCTCCAGCCGCAGGCTGTCGAAGCCACAGAGTCTGTCTGCGGCTTCAGCTGCTGCTTGCTGCTGCTGCTGTTGCTGCTGTTCTTCGTTGGAGTTGCCGCCGCTGCGGCAGCAGGGGCCGCCGCCGTTGCTGCAGCAGCAGCAGCAGCTGCTGCTGCTGGGAGGGCCGTGAAGCTCTCCCGGATATTCCGGATGCTGCTGCGCAGGGCGCTGTAGTCAAAGGCCTTGCTGCTGCTGCTGCTGCTGCTTCGCATGCCCCACAAAGCAGCAGCAGCCTTGCTGCTGCTGCAGGCTGAGGACCCTAGGGCCGTCTCTCCTGCTGCAGACAAAAACGAAAAATCAGAAGATATATTAAGCTGCGTGGAGTTCCTTCTGGCGCTGCTGCTACCGCTGTTGCTGCTGCTGCTGCTGCTGCTGCTGCCGCCCTGACATTGCTGCGCCGGCTCTTCCATGGAGCATCCAACAGCAGCAGATGATGTGCCAGCAGCAGCAGCAGCAGCAGCAGCA